ATATCTAGTTTTATTCTTTCGGTGGTATTCGATAGTTCTTTTCTTTGCTAAAGCCCTTGCTTCATTTAAGGAAGGGTATTTATTTTGATCAATTGGAGATTCAAAAGGGAGGTTACCAAATAGTAAGTATGCTGGGGTGAACTTAGTTACCGTATACCGTATGAGGGGAGTTGTTATATTCGATAACAACTTGCTCTAGCACTTTAGTCCACGGTACTTTTTTAGAAGAAGAATTTACATTTTAGTCGACTTACTATTGATTGATTTACTCTTTCTACTTTACCATTTGTCTGGGGATGGTGAGATGAAGTTAAAAGTTGTTTAACATTATGCTTTTTAAGAAATTTTTTGAATCTAGAGGAAGTGAAGGCTGCATTCCTGTCACTCAGAATTTTTTCGGGGACTTGTATTTGAAATATTTGTTTTAGACAATTGGCATAGGTTTCTGAAGTTACACTTTTAGAGGGAAAAGCCCAGACATATCTTGTTGCATGGTCAATAACTATATGCAAATATTTTTTTGTAGAATTATAATAATTAAATCCTCCCACAGTGTCAATAGAGAGACATTCGAAAGGTTTGTCGGTTGGGGGTACGTCTTGCATAAGACCAAAATTTTTTCTGTTTTTTCTTTTTTAAGTTGACAAGTATGACAATGTTTAACAAAATTTCCGATATCTTCGCTAATATGAGGCCAATAATATTGAGGGGGTGATTAAGTTAAGCATAATTTGAACTCCCGGGTGACCAAAATTTTCATGGGTTTTATTCAACAATTTTAATCTTAAAGATTTAGGTACTACAATTTTATAAAAATTCTTTTTCTTAATTACCATCATATCATTTATCTCTTGGTAATTTTTTCCGCAGACATTATCAGTTTTTTGTTGTTGGATTATTTCATTTCTATCAAGTAAATGTACATAATGTTGGAGGTGCTGTGAAACAGGATGTCTAGAAAGCATGTCAGCTTCAATATTGGTAGAGCCCTTCTGATACTTTACTTCATAATTGAACATACTTAGTTTGAGTGACCAACGGAAGAGTCTACCTTTTAAATTTTTAACATTTTTGAGCCAAACGAGGGCCGCATGGTCCGTATGTATAACAAATTTTTGTCCATGCAGATAGTAATAGAATTTGTCTAGGGCATCTACTATGGCCAAACATTCTAACTCAGTAATCGTATAATTTTTCTCATAATTTCTTAAAGTTCGGGAATGATATGATACAGGGTGAAGGACATCATTTTCATCTGGTTGTTTCAAAACAGCTCCAACAGCAGTTTGAGAAGCGTCAACAAAAATATGACATGGCCTACTGGAATCATACAATTGTAAAACAGGTTTGGAAATCAGTATTCTTTTCATTTCGTCGAAAGCTTTTTGACATTGGTCATCCCATTCCCACTTGACATCTTTTTTCAAGAGTCTGTTTAATGGAGCTCTAATAGTTGCATAATTCGGAATGAATCTATGATACACATTCACACTTCCCAAAACTCTTTGTAACTCTTTGGTGTTACTGGGGTTTTTAAGTTTCTTAATAACTTCTATATTATGGTTATCGGGAATTATTCTACCATTTTTTATTTCATAGCCAAGAAATGTGATCTGATCTCTGGCGAACACACACTTGTTTCGATTCAATTTAATATGCTCCTCTTTAAACACCTCAAATAAAATTTTTAAATGTTCTAAATGTTCTTTCTCAGAGGAAGAGTAAACGATTATATCATCAAAGTAACTGCAAGCGAAATTAATTTTATTTTTTGTTAATATTCGTCTAATTGTTCTGTTAAAAATTGCAGGTGCATTTTTGAAACCAAAAGGGAGTCTTAACCATTCGAATAATCCAAAATTCGTGCAAAAAGCTAATTTCTCAGTATCTGCAGGGTGAATCGGGATATGCCAGAAACCAGATCTCAAATCAATTGTAGAAAATACTTTTGCTTTACTTAATTTGTCTAACAAAGTGTCAATGCGAGGAAGAGGGTTTGCATCTGTTTTAGCCAGGGAATTCAATTCAATTTTCGATAATCTATACACAATCTAGTTTTTTTACCTTCCTCACGTTTAAGTACTAAAGTCACGGGGGACGAATATGGGCTACAACTTTCTTTAATTATACCTGCTTGTAATAATTGATCAATTTGGGTCTTAATTTCCTCTTCTTCCATAGGGGATGTTTTATAAGGTCTTAATGATACAGGCAAATCAGAATTTAAATTAACTCGTTGAGGTTCAATATTAATTTTTCCTACATCATACTTATTTTTAGAAAACACAGATGAATAATCATTTAAAAATTTTTCCAAGTTATACTCTTTGTTATCGACAGTATTAGAAACAGCATTTTTCACATAAATGTTAGACTGAGAAACTAATTCCTTTGGATTTGTAGTCCGAGATTTACAGGTTGGAAAATTTCTTACATCATCATCATCATTATTAACACATGGATAAACATTTGTTGTACCACCTTGAAGTTGGAGGTGTAGAGATATGGGTCGGCTGTCAAAATGGCAGTCATCATTAAGTACAATAGCTCTCTGTTTAATTTTTAAATTAGTACAATCAATACTCAACTCAAATAATTTGCATTCATAAAGTCCTAAAATTACATAATTCAAATTATTATCAAGAACAAACAAGGTAATTTGGTTACTAATCCGTCCAATTTTCATTTGTATACAACATATTTTGTTGAAGATTATTTTTCCTTTAGTTTGGGTTACTGAAAATGATCTAACTCTTTGTACTTTTAAACGTAATTGTCTAGCTGTTTTGGAAGAAATTATTGATATGGTGGCACCACTGTCTACAACACACTCTAGACGTTTCTTATTGGACAAATATCCCGACACCTTTAATAGTCAAACTACTGTGAGGGGTTTCTGGGGTTGGTTCTATTGCAAGGGGCGTAACATTAGGTGTATCAGATCTCTTCCCTCTGAAAGGACAAACCTGAAACCAATGAAAAGCATTTGGGATTCCGTTCCGGGTGCAAAGTCTACAGGGACTGGGTGGCAATGGCAATCTATTTTGAGAATTATAATTATAATGGCTTGTAAATTTTGGACCACTGAACCGATTATAAAAATTACTTGGTCTCTGAAAACGTTGGAAATTGTTGGGTCTAGGAGAATCTTGTCTCACAGTAGTTTCATAGCCTGAAGCTGAAATTCTACTTCTATTAAATCGATTGTAATTTTGGGGACTGTTCCCAACTGGAGTAACAAATCTGGGAGGTGCACTTTTGATTTGTTGATTTTCACTAATCTTAATAAGCTTATGGACATGAGTAAGCCAAGAGATGGGGTCAGAGGGTGCGTTGATCCTCATTAAGGATTTTAATTCTATAGGAAGGCCATCCGTCAGACCCTCCAAGATCATTTCATGAGTTAGATTTAATTTTTTACCAATATCTAATTTTTTGCGAAAATATTGCGTTATGTCCTCTTTATGATTGTACTTGTAATTGGCAAAATCACCAAACGTAGTTAAAGTGGGGTCGAAAAAATTTTCCTTTAAAATTTGGACTAATTCCACATATTTAGTAATTTTATGGCAGTTTTTGACATATACGCTAAGTGCATTACCTTTTAGATATCGAGCTACATTATTAAGCTTCCACGTTTCATCTTTATCTAAATGAGTTTTGTTAAAGTACTCAAGCCATGAATTTATATCCATATCATTCTGCGCGTCAAAGGGAATTATACTTGTTTCAGGTTCAGCGCTAGCTGCCCTTAATGAATCATCAGGATCAGAGAGGTTTTCATTAGCCATTATTCTTTAATAATACTTTCATAAATAAAACTAATAATACTTTATAATAAAACTAATAATACTTTCATAAATAAAACTAATTCAAAAATAATACTCTTTAAATTTTCCCAAAACAATATTAAAACCAAAATACATCCTTTAAATACCAAATTTAAAATACATTTATACCAAAATAATACTTTTTAAAATTTTCAAAATAAAAACACTATTATTAAATCAGTAATTATAATTCAATAGTAATAATATCATTTGCATCGCCAATCTTTTTACTAATTGCTTCTGTTTGACTTATTGTGACGAGAATACGAGTGATGAAATCGACACGAAAATACACATTTTTGTGCACTCTTGATTAGATTTTCGCAAAACACGATCAATCACCACACACAAAGCACAAAGCTCTCGAGAGCAACACAGAACGGCGTAGACGTAGGGAAAGATTTCCATCCTCAAAAGTAGGTCAACGGTAAGAGCACATTTGATGAACGACGAACTTTCGATGGAAACACAAATCACATCACAGGGGGCAGAAAGATGCTTCTCTGGACGTAAAATAATCTGCAGTAATACCAGAATACAAGGTAACAGAAGGATGATTTCTTGAAGCAAGAACGCCTAGAGAAAAATGTAGAAACATAGAAGTCGCACAGCGGCAAATTCATCTAAAGTGCGTAACATTTTATCCGTATAATCCTTGGGGTATTTTCTTTTTTAGATAATCCCTTTGAAGGTGGTATCCTACCGGCTTTCTGAAATGTAATTTCTCATACATTATTTGTTTTGTGCAGCCGGGGCAACAGGAATGAGACAAATTTTGGAATATAAAGTGGTAGGTTTATTTTAGCATCCATCTCGTAAGCGTTCTCTTCGTATCTGGAGCAGAAGCCCTACTTATACATATGTGTACGTCACGAGGCTCCTCCAATCAGCGATATTAATTGAAATCACGATCACATAATCCAATTAAAACAAACTATTGCAAACAAGAAAATGAAGATGAATCTTCTAGAATAAAGGCAAGCAGTAGGGCATTACTCATATATTGCAACAACCAGTCGACTCCATACAGCATGTGCCATTAATTTACTGAGTAGGAGAAATGAGAATCTTGAAAAATAGTTTGGAATACTGTCAAAAGTCAATATTTGAATACAACTAAAGTCTTTGCTGTTAATTAGTATATATAGTTTTAGCAAAGAATATAATTACCATTGTGCTATCAACTCTACTCAGAATAAGAAATGCATGAGAATTCTTCAGAATCTGAGAGGCTTTATTTTGATTCTCTTCACTGGAGTCTTCCTTGTCCTCTTCTGTCCTTTCTTCCAACTTCTAAAAATCAAACAGCAGAATATTTTGAATCCATTTCTCTGAACAACCAAACATAAAATTTGTAACATTCTTTTAAATAAACTGCTATGAAATATAATGAATACAAATTAGTAAAGGAATGTTCAAATTTTTTTTTTTTTTTTCAGTTATTATGTTGAAAGTTCAAAAGTATGAAACAGGAGCTCAATAATGGCAGAGTTTTTTCCACTCCTTAGAAGTACCTCAACATGTCGAAGAATGAACTCTTCAGCACAACTCACAGATACTGCAATTTATCTTGTAATTGCAACAAAATGGGTGGAACTGGATCCATTTTCAAAATACTTAAAATAACTTCAAAACACTTCCAAAACATTCTATAAATGCTCCTAAGCTTTCATATCTGAACCAAACCTAACTTCTAAAATCTCTAGGATGCAACCATCTCATGGCATCCACAGATCAATGACACACCACATTATTCTGCTGAAACACTCCTTTCCCACCAGAAAATGATAACCACATAGGGGTACAGAATGTGTTGAATTGCAGGAGGCTCATGCAAGCTGTTTCTTAAAATTTGTCTGTATTCTGAGATCTCACTTTTCCTTTTGTTTACTTGTTTAGCTATCAAACTATGCCACTCATTATTACTACTGTTATGTTGTCTAGTTCTAATGTTTCTGTCTCCAATTAAGTGAATTCTATGAAGTGTCAAGAGTATGCATGGAAACTCAAAGACACGAAGTAGCAACAAGCAGTTGTTTATGATACATTTTGTGAAGAGCCAGCATTAAACTCTGCAGCTACATCCACATAGTTTATCAATTTTTAATGAACTATGACCTATGTTATCTAGCAAAAACACCACTCTTTAGTGCCACATGAAATTTTCACTTTTTCGTCATTTTCACTTCCTTGTACGAAATAAAGGAAATATTGTAATTGTGAAACATTTCGAGTATCATATTTCAGTGAAAATATCCATTTTGATTGCTCCTGAACCCATTTAAATAATGTTTATACGGGACATCCGTATGTACAAACAGCATAAGGGACTTTTTTCACCAAAATGGATAGTAAAATAGATTTAAAATGATTCATAAGTGTTTTTTTTTTTTTTTTTTTTTTTTTTTTTTTTTTGTGACATACGCACCTATTTCGCGCAACTCAAAAACGAATAGCCGTAGAATGTTGAAATTTTGCATATGGATAGCTATAACTTCTAGCTGTGCACATCGCTTTTTCATTGCAATCGGTCGCACAAATGTATATATGCATATATATACATATACAGTACAAAGTCCATAATCCGGACTTGTCGGGACTTTGGCGATTCTGGATTAGGGGTTTTTTCGGATTATAGATTTAAATCTGGTATGATTACAGATTTAAATCTGGTAAGATGGCATGCAGAAATTATACAATTAAAAATATGAAACCGTAATTTATGAAATAAAGAGCAATTATGATCTAAAGGGTATCAAAATTTACACACACACACACAAAAAAAAAAAAAAAAAAAAAAAAGCTTAATATTTATTTGTTCACTTTATTAAACATTTCTTTCAATGCGCGCATTCGTAGAGCATCACATGCATGTGTAATGCGCGTAATGTATGTGTGTGCATTCTTTACGCCCATGCGTAAAGCATACAAAAAAAAAAAAAAAAGTTCTAGCCTTTGAGGTCCAGATTATAGATCATTCCGGATAATGGGCATCCGGGTTACAGACTTTGTACTGTACTTTGTTACACAGATGGGCGAGTTCCTTTATGTTGGCAAATTGTGCATTTTTTGCTTTCTTAAGTGATTAAGTTATGTTTTTCTTATGTTCTGTTTAAGGTTTTTATGCCTTTAGTTAATCTGAAGGCAATAATTGTAGAATTATCAACAATTTAAAAATTTAAGTGATGCTAAGCCTAAGCCAAAAGTACACTTTCAATTTTGTGCATCAAAAAATCTGTCTTTCTGCCTGCTGACCAATTTGCTTGTTTTTATGTAGAAACTCTAATTTTAATTGTAAAAATTGTTTTTCTAATACTTTATATTACCAGTATTTGGTGTTTTATGTTTTGTAGTATTTTGCAATTTTTAATAGAAATGCTTTGAGTTTTTATGTATTTTTGCATTGCCACAAAATGACAACTGAATTAACTGAATGAGAAATATGCCTGTAATGAAATTCGAGGAAATAAGTTTCAATGAAATACAGCAAAATGTGTGTATAATTTAATAGGCTGTAAAAGTCATGCAGTTTCCACATCAGATATTTTATGAATGGTATGCCATCTACCAAGTATTTGCAATATTCTGTTGACACTGCAGTCCTAGTAAAACCAAATTCATCAACAATCACTGAAACTGTATGATTCACACTCTAAATGCATTCAATTCGAACAACATTTAACATATACCAAGATTAAATGAACAGTCAAACAAAAAGAAAGCTTGATATTTCAAGTAGGGTAACACCATACTGACTTCTCCATTCATAGCATTGTTATTTAGAGAAAATATTACAGTTCTTCCTTAGATGCTATTTCTATGACTTTTGACTTTTCAACTTACAAAGATGCTACACAAAAGCAAACTAACCTCTAAATCTGTATTATGCCCAATAACTGTCCACATGTCTACACAACCAGGCAATTCAAACGTAGTCACAACTTGAGGTCTAATGGAACGCTGAAATAAAAATGCAAATGTTTGTAATTTAAAAAACAGAATTATGTTTTTTATTATAACATTTATATGAATGACATATAACATTTGAATCAGGGTTCATAACCACATTTTAATTAAAAAAATAAGCACCTATAAGCACTTTTCAAGCACATTTTAAGAAAAAAATAAGCACCTGTCTAATTACATTATACGCAACTGCATAAACCTTAAAAGAAAAATTAGACTTGCAATTTAAAATATGAGCAATGCAATATTTATTAAGAGAATGAGCATTACCTCAACCATGGAAAACAATTAACTTTTTTTTAAATTTTAAATGACAGTTCAATTTACAGAATTAGTTTACAATGAGAGAAAAAAAAAAAAACTATGCAGAACTAAACTATATTACAAGATTTAATGATGAAATTTCAGTTCAAAATATAGAAAATAAATACTAATAATAAGCCATATTAATTGTATTCGCTTGGCACCTAATAATAAATACAATTTATTTTCCCACTCATATTAATATTTAAATAATTTAACTTAAAATTATGAACATTTTCTAAATTTTCATTGCATAACAGTTTTCCCTTAACATATATTCCAAGCAAAGTAATTCAAGTAAAAAAGAGAAACATTTCTGAAATCAGAAGACGGGAAATTGCTTCATGCAGTCATCCTTTAACAGTAAAAGCTTAACTAACCCGCACACTCGGAAAATGCCGAACATTCGGAATAGTAACTGGAAAAAGAGGAGTGGGGGAGATTGTAGCCGTTCTTTAGATTTCTCAGGTAAATAAATGATTTTGACATTTTGATATGTGCATCATATAAAAATAGACCAACGGAACTGAGAAATATTTTGCTTAGAAAGAACAGTAAAACTCTTGTGTGTTCATAAATAAATCTCAGACCGAACATCAAAATTAATTATCTCTGCAAAATACCGCAAACGTTATTGCGCAACAAGGTTTCTAAAATACCCTATAAGAAAGTATTTTACTGATCTTGATTGCGCAATACGTGCGGCGTAATTCATCCATACGTGATATTACGCAATCGGAATCGGAATCAACAGCTGCCGGTATTCGCAGAATAAAGAACTATATAAAGGAAAAGAAAGAGACTTACTAATCTGGGGTGTTTTTGATTCAAATTTTGAACAGACCGTTAAATTTCCCGAATAGAATCATTCTTCGCTTGGGTTGGGTAGACCGCAAAACTTTTAGTCCTATTCTATCCAGATTGGACAGTGACAAAAAAAAAAAAAAAAAAAAAAAAAAAAAAACATTCGCTGCTTCAATATTAGAGATTTTGCGGAGAAACGGGAGAACCTCCCAACCTCCGTACTGTATAATGTATTGGGGGAAAAAAAAAATATTCTGACTATTCGATTACTTTCCTTTTATTTAAGCCATTCCGAATATTATTCCTTAGAAAGCTAATCTGTGTAAAAATAAACCCATTTTTGGAAGTTTATCTAAACTTCAGTAGCTATTGCAACTATATTATTATAAATATTCAGACATATGCTCATAATATAAGCATAACGTAGTATTTGGGTGGGAGGAAAAGAATACCGAATGTACCGGAATTTTCTACGATTTTCGCAATTCTTTGACCAATAGAACGACGTGCACCATAGGTTACGTTAATGCAGGGAAAGGGGGAAAAGCTATTTACGGGAGTATGATTCACCATCTGACGTTCCATATAAGGAAGAAAAGTTGTTTATTTAGTTTAGGATTTGGTACGGGGGGGAAAATGCGCGTTCATTAAAAAAAGCACTAAAAGCAAAAAATAAGCGCTAAAAACAAAAAAATAAGGGCTTTAAAGAAAAAGTAAGCACCTATAAGGGCCTTTATATTTTATTTTCGAATATAAGGACTTATAAGCACTTGTAAGGACGCTATGAACCCTGTGAATGCATAAATACAGTCACAATTGAAAAATGCTGAAATGATCATTTCCATAACAACACTTTTTAACTGAAGAAAATATCTATAAGCGGATGTACAGGAGGTCTGCAACATACGGGAGGATCTGTAGTTGTGGCTCCCCAGGAAAATGTTTTATCAAAGGTCAGGAATTCCTTAAAGTGCATGAAAAAGCAAAGCCAATGGGAGGTGAACACATGCACCATTTTCTTTGACTTTTCTTTGACCTGAACCTCCGAGTTTCGAGGAAATTAACAATAGAGTGTCCGGCTCTACCTGAAAGGAATTCCGGCCTGTGAATCACGATTAAAGTTTACACGAGAAAGTTATCATTTCATTACCTTTTTGGGATGATATTAGTGCCAAAGCTTTGAATGGCGAGCATTTTATCTCCCTCTTGACCTCAAACCCGAAATACCAAGGTTTCTTCAGACCACTTTAGTCAGTGAACTGAGCACGTGTCTTGTGTTCTCTGCCAAAATGTCATGACGGGACTTGACATCAGCTGAAAAAATTGGTTTCCTGGATAAGATCAAGCAACAACCACAAAACACTAGTCAGCGTCGGTTGGTGGAAATAACCGGATTGGCAAAGACTACAATTTTGCACTTGATAAAACAAGAGAATAAGCTGCGAGAAGAATGGGCACTATGTGAAGGACGAGGAACTTCCAAAAAACGGAAGCATGAAGGCAAGGACCCAGATGTCGACGAGGCCCTTAATCAATGGTTTGCCATTGTTACTGGACGATCTGTGCAAGTAAGCAGCCTAATGTTAAAATGCAAAGCAGAAGAACTCGCTAAAAGCTGGGCCACAATGACTTTAGAGCTACGGACGTTTGGTTGTCTCTATGGAAATCTGGGCATGGCATAAATTACAAGAAAGCACATGGCAAGAAAGAAAGTGCTGATAGTGCAAATGCTGAAGAATGGAAAACAACAAAACTGCTCGAGCTTCTTGAAAATTTTTCAGCAGATGACATCTACAATGCTGATGAGACTGGGCTGTATTATCATGCTACACCGGATGGCTCGTTAAGTTACAAACATGTTGCACTCTCTGGCTCCAAAAAAGCGATGGATAGCATAACTGTCTTGTGCTGCTCAAACATGTCAGGAATGGACAAGGGAAAGCTGTTGGTTATAGCAAAAAGCACTAAGCCTCGCCGCTTTAAAGGACTTAGGATGGAGAGTTTACCAGTTGTGTATCATGCGAACAGAAATGCGTTGATGACCTCTGAACTTTTTAAAGAATGGCTGAAGGATTGGGACATAGAGCTACAACACCAGTTGAGAAAAATGCTGCTTCTTCTCGACAATTGTGCAGCACATCTTCATTTAGACTGCTTGATGAATGTCCAAATGGAATTTCTACCACCCAGGACCACGGCTTTGGTCCAGCCAATGGACATGGGCGTCATAAAAAATTTTAAGACCCTTTATCGTGCAAGGTTGGTTAATTATGTCCTTGAAGCAATTGAAGAAAGTTTGCTGACCTCATCATCAAAAGCCAGCGAAGTCAGTGCAAAGGTCAATATCTTACAAGCAGTTAAATTTATGGCCGACAGTTGGCGAAAAGTGAACAGTGAGACAATTCAGAACTATTTTTTTTCACTGTGGCTTTAAGTACTTGGTTTTGGAGATGGATGTGATCATGCTTATTGAAAGTGAAAATGATGATTTACATTTGAAACTTCAACAGGCACAAAATTGCGAAGAATTTTTATCAATTGACAATGAGCTTCAATGCTACGATGAAAATGAAGATTACGATACTGCAATTGTTGCAGCAAAACACATGACAGCATTGGAAGAGCAAGAAAGTGATGATGATGATGCCCCTAATAAGTTGGTGCAAGTGACAACACAGAATGCAAGGAAATGCTTGAAACTTTGCGTCGGTATTTCATGCAGGAGGGAAATGAAGGCAGTCCCATTACTGCATTAGATGTTTGTGGCGATTTCATTCCCATGCAATCCGTCAAAAGAATGTGTCAGATCACATTGGATAAGTTCTTCAAATGTTGACTGGAACTTAATAAGAAATTCTTTTTATTGTGCTTCGCATGTTGAGTATCGTGCAGACTGTTTCTTAGAATTTGTTTCTAAATTAATTTTCTCAATGAAAAAAAGTTCGATTGTATTTCTTGTTTGTACATGTATGTTCGCTATACATATGTACCGCACCATAAAGCTCATACTTACATTTTAGTACATAATTTACATGTACATTTACTGTTTGCTACATATAGCCCGTCCCGTCTTACAACATAGGACATGTTCGTGTAATCGGACCAGCCAGATATTAGAACCAAAACGATCGCTTCCTGATGTGGTCTGATTAACCAGAATCGACTGTATATATACATACTGAGGGGTTAGGTATATATATATATATACACACACATATACCCAACCCCTTCACTTGTTTAAAAGCCCTTACCTGGTCTTTAGTTTTGCAATCGTTGGTCACACACATGCACTTTCAATTACAGAAGTGTGTGTTAAGTGACAAAAACATTCATGTTTTACTGTCCTACAAAAGGGTAACAAGAAACATTGTTTAGGTTATTTAAATATGGCAAAACACAAGAGGGTTATCTGCCTAAGAGGGAGCAGGCTGCCTTCATGGACAACCGTAAAAACCAACCCATTTTCCTGTGATCTTCCGACTTTTCGTTTTCCTACAGTTACGTCAGTCCTGGAAATTAATAGCCGGACCTTGTATTAAATGTTTACTATTTGAACTACACATTAGAATATAAGTAATAACATATTAAATAAAATGAAATATCTGTTACGTAAATTGCATACGAAATAAATTCAGATATCAGTATGTAAGTAAAAAATTAAATAACTGAACTAAAAATGCAAATTTCATAAATGAAGTAAGTCTTGACTCTTTCTTCCTATATTTGTCAGATATATATTAATTTAGAAATTTAATTGAGTTCATATTAAGATGAAATGCTATTGTAAAATGCCCTAATGTTTGTATAAGCAAATATAAAGTTAGTATTTTTCCTCAGACCAAGAATTTCTATCTTTTAGAAGTTAATATAAAATATTTTTGTTAAGTAGTAACTCAGCATGGAATACAACTCGGTTTTCTATCTAACAAGAACCCACACATTTTAGGGTAGCTTGATATTTTTAGTGGAATAATTTTCATTTTATTTTTGGTAGGTTATTTATGATTTTATATCCTTTGAGGTGTAGAATCATTTGTGTGTTTGAATGTAAAAGTTTTATTGTCACTGTTTTCCCACATCATTTTATTATCTCCAGAACTTTCTCATTTTAAGCAAATGTGCGAGTTTTTAAATATGAACATTATAAGAAATGAAAAATTTGGGCTTATGTTTAGATGTTAATAGAAAATAATCAGATTATGATATTTTCAAAAATTATAAAAATAAGATAGAAGATCTTGAAATCTATAACCTTCTTTATAAAACCACTATGGTTTTTGTTGTTGTCAACATTTAATGGAAAACAAATAATATCTTTAAAATTTTAATCTCATCAATATCCTTTACCATTGAGATAAATTCTATAAATAAATTTGCTTCTATTTTTTTCCATGTTTCCGATTATCATATGCAAACTATTGCACTGATTTGGTTCAGTTCTCAGAGTTCAGATAGTATATAACTTCTATTATAGAGCAATGAAATGCCAAATTCTTGATGTTAATCTTAGTAAAAGTTTCAAAAATACTATAATTTCCTTGTGTAGTGCTTTAATACAACACAAAATTAAAAAATGTCTCTTATTGTATTATTATTAACAGTAAAAAAAATTATTTTGTTATACTCACAAAATAAATACAAATAAATAAAATTAACTAAAAATATTAAATTGCTAGAAAAGAGATATTTCTGAGAAATCAGTAACTTACCTGTAAAACAGACAAGGCACCATTTTTTCCATATCCAGATGTAGTAACAAGTTCCAGATCAGGATCTGGATTTGCAGAAAATTCTTCAGATATGAAAGCTGGTTCTCCCATACATATTTTGCCACAAGGACCAATATTCAATAAGCTATCACAAACCTAGAAATGGCAGTCTTTAAGTGTGGAATAAAGTGTATAAAAAAAGGTTCTTTTGGATTGAAACCATACCACGCAGTTACTTTTTTTAAAGATGTATTTTTTCGGCACCAACTGCTGGTAATTTGATTTGAATCTTTTATAAAGATTGATCATTTACATTTACATTTCGCCCCAGCAAAGTATTTCAGTATTTGGGATGTGGAATATTTCACAATAAATCATGGACTTTGGAATATTTCACAATAAATTGTGGAATTTGGAATATTTCACAATAAGTCATTCATATCAACTTGATCATCTGGACACTAGATGTTATATCCAATCTACACAGGAGCAATTGTGGCACAACCATATAATGGCACAATAAATTCCAAAGAAGTAATGTGTACCAACATTAGATCAATGTGCCTTAAACTGTTTTGGTTTACTACCCACTTTTAGAAAAAAAAAAAAAAAAAAAATTAAAATCAAACTCCTAGAAAACTATATTTATATTTTTTACAAAAATAAAATACTAATGATGAAATTGGGTTATTTGTATATTAATCTCTTCGCTCCCGACAAACAGAGAATGAAGTGTTTCACCACACACCAACGAGCTTGGAGCGCCGAATGTCACTATATGCCCGAGTTATGCAATTAAGCTTAACATGAAAAACTAATTCTTATAAAATCTGTTTTTGCATTGAAATGTTGAATTACTAAATGTCAATTTTTAAAATACAAAGGAAAAAATCTTCATTTTCACAATTAAAATAAAACTTACAAATAAGTTAAAGAGCAGGATTAGTAATGTAATATTTCATTATTTAACAAATAATTATATTTATTATCCTTGATATTGGAGTGGCAACGCCATATTTGTATCGTGTAACTGTCACTAAGCAACGTCAAACATTTTTCAGTCGCAACCCCTTTTTATCGCTGAGATATTTTCACAATACCCAGGACACCATAATATTTACAAAAATTTCGTGGGACTCCATAAGTATTGTGCAAATCCGACACACACATGAGTGACACTGTTAATTTTCTCACTTGTACTGTAATATACTTTTTGAAGTTTTAGGTCATTAATATCTAATTTTAAGACACAGAACAATGTGAAAATTTTAAATAAGTAAGAGATCAAATGACAGCGTCACATGAAAAGCAATGAAAATAGATGTTTATATTATAAAAAGAATGCATTGAAACATTTTCGTTTTTCTCTTTGTCCGTATTGTCTTTATCTATTTGCAGATACATTGTGTAAAAATAGTTGGTAATTGTAAAATTATTATAATAAGTTAAAGAAATATTAAAACTGCTAAAATTTTTTGCGACCGCCTACTGCAGGTTCTGCAACCCCCAAGGTGACTCATCTTCTATGGATAGTGTGTGTGATTATTCCCCAAAAAATTCCCCAATTCTTTCTTCTCCAAAAAGCAAAGAGGTGAGTTTGACAATTTTTCACAGAAGATCAAAGAACTTCTGATAAAAGAACTCATGAAGGTGCTTCTAAAGCTAACAAAATAAAAATACGTCTAGAATCTAAGCATGCATCAGAAAACTTAGCAAAGAGGCACAAACATGATAAAGGATATTCAAAGTTGCCACATTCAATGAGAATGCAAGTAACAGACAAAACAAAAGTTCATATCGGAAGGAGCAAAAACTATCTGAAAAGAAAGAACTGACAAAATTAGACGATTCTCAGTTAAAAATTTTAGATGAATTGCCAAGTTCTGCAGTTGAGGTGCAAGTCAAGGAGAAGTTTTTAAAGAAACTAAAAGACAAGAGTGAGTTGTTAAAGAAATAAAACTGCCACACAAGTCTATATTACACTCACCTAAGGAGTTTATTTTGCAAACTGATGCTTCAAACTCTGGTATGGGTGTTACTTTAGCCCAGAAAGATCCACACATCACCACACGTTTTTACATATTGAATCACCTGGTTCATTTTTTTCGGTATGAGACACATATAGAGTGCAGTCGAACATTATTGTGTAGTACAGTCAAAAGACGTTAATCCGGACTCGTCAGGACTTCGGCGATTCCGGATTATCGATTTTTCTGGATTATAGATCATCAGTTTAAATCTCGTAAGATGGCATGCAGAAATTCTAAAATTAAAAATATGAAACCATAATTTATGAAATAAAGAACAGTTATAATCTAAAGGGTATCAAAATTTACAAAAAAAAAAAAAAAAAAAAAAAAAAACAAAAAAAAAAAAAAAAAAAAAAAAAAAAAGCTTAATATTTATTTGTTTACTTTATTAAACATTTCTTTCAATGTAAGTTGTTTAAGTTGCTTCGTTTTATGTGATATAATACTTTCTCTTTAATTCTATAAAAACAGACATAATTTCTTGTTCAGTTACAAAGTTCCGCTGTTCAAGTCCCGTTAATTGTTGTGCCGAGAATACCGACTAACTTGGCAATCGAAATTTTCTCGTTTTCACTAACCTCTCTGTCACATTCTTCATGTCTTTATCCATTTTTTGCAGCAATACCACTTTTTGTTTGATGGACATTGAAACATACTTTCGTTTTGTACGATCCTTTGGGAGCTCCAGAATCGGAAATTCTATTTGACAAAATCGAAAGTTCAAGTTTACTTTTATAAAATTGCTCTTACAGTCTGCAAAAAATAATAAGCCGGATCCAATTCGAAGATTAAGGAACAATGCAATCATCAACATTAACTGAAATAGATAATTAGATAATTTTAGCTTATACCATCCGTTATACATAAAACGTGCATGCCAAAACGTATTCTGCGCTTGCGCACACGCATATGCGCAGTAGTAAAAATCTTACACGCACGCGTAAACACTTATGCGCATGTGTCAACGCGGCGCATGCGCAGAAATTTTTAGCTTTGAGGTCCGGATTATAGATCATTCTGGATTATGGGTGTCCGAATTAACAACTTTTGACTGTATTTATATATGATGCTAGTTGATTCAGTTTTATTTTCATACTTTGCGAAAGAATATAAAGCAATCAACTCATTTTTAAGCTTTGCAAAATTAAGCAGTCTGCAGTATGAGCTAGCACTTAATTTGTTTAGTAATATTTTGGAAAATTTTTTATTATTTATGCTTTATAATGTTATTTATATGTAATATGTATTCAATTTATGTGGCAACACATGCATTCCAAAAAAGAAATGTTCTCTGCTATTCTAAATGCCATCTTTAAGTTTATGCCTGTTCTTTAGTCTCATATAGTTGTCTTCAAATTGTGTTCCACAGAACCCTAGAGTTCTGCGAATCAAACCCTGGGGTTCTGCAAGTCAAAATAAAATTTGATAAATGACATTTGTCAAAGAGAATGATATACAATGCTTTGCAAAACTACACAGTTTTCTAATGGAAAATAAATTAGATTTAGATGATAGTGTTAAAAATTATATGATTGGGCATCTTTTTCAGGTGAAAAAAATTATAAGAGAATATTTCCCAGGAGAGAAAGACAGACAGAATAAAAAAATTGTTCAAGCACTATGATAAATTAGAACATTTCAATCCTAGTTAGAGCAGCATATTCAAGTAAAAAACTTTCTCAACCTATGTAGCAACAAAAACAGAATACAGAAACAAATTAAATGCACAAAAAGAACTGTAACTGCAGATAACATCAATAACTGAGTCAAACTTTGACTGTTTATGTAAAAAAATGCAAGCAGTCCTCAGTCACTAAATGTAACGCAAGGGTGAGGGACAAGTTAATCCTATTAATAATTACATTAATTTTATGTTAAAATTTTTTAACAAAAAATGAAATACTTTTCTCTAGTCTGTACTAAAGTATCTATAAATATTGATCAATTTTAAATAGTAAGATGTATTTTCTAAGGGTAGGATGAAGTTCTCAGAAAAATAAACGAAACAACAACAAAAAAAAAAAAAAAAAAAAAAAAAAAAAAAATAAAAAAACACCCTTTTAGCTCTAAAGGTGCCATGAGTTGACAAAGTTTGATAACTAGTATAATATGACTCTTTTTAGTGCAACGTTTATTAATTACTAATATATTTCATTCCATGTTTCAGTATTTTATTTAATTATTTAAGAAGCAGTAATTATACAGTACAAAGTTTGAAATCTCGAGTCAGTGGGACTTTGGCGATTCTGGATTTCAGAAATTTCCAAATTTTAGATCATCAGTTTAAATCTTCGGGAGGTAAAACTTAAATTTACAGTAAGGTTACATGTAGAAATTATAAAATTAAAAGTGTGAAATAGTTATTTATGAAATAACGAAGTATTTACAACTTTAAGGGAATCGAAATTTACAAAATAAAACTCAATATTTATTTATTTGTTTGGTACTTGTCAAGGTATAGCAACCTTGGCAAGAAACAAACGGTTAATGATTTAACGCCTTTTTCATACTTGCATTGAGTCAATATAGCAGTTTTTCATTGGAAAATACTCATTATACTCACTATTTTCAATTTACCATCAATGGAAAAAGAAGCTACAGTTAATGCTTGAGGCATAACAATTGCTCAACTTTTGGCACCAGAAAGAGTTTATAAAACATTAATTTTCAGGTATGTTTATAGGCTTTTTATTTATTTTTTTGATAAATTGCTAACCAAATTGCATTAAATAAAACTATAAGTAGAATTTTCCAGTAGGTTCACTTTCTATAGCATTCAAAATTTACGTGAAAATAAGGTTGCTGTTTTTCCCAATTTTGAAATTGCACTTTCTTAAGATGAATAGTGCCAACACTGCTTTTTTGCCCTAAGGCCCACTGCCCTTTTGTTTTGCAAATCCTGTTACAGCTCTATAATTAGAAACTCTTAAAAAAAAGAATTAGAAAGGCATAATCAAAAATTGACAGTTTAATTTCTGTAAAATAGTTGTAATAATAAATAGGCGACAAAAAATAACAAACAGGATTAAATTAGTTAAGAAAGAGTGCAATTTGCTATGCTATGTTAAGGAAGTTTTTTTTTTTTTTTTTTTTTTAATCTCATTCTTTTTTACTTCTTGCTGTTGT